TGCGTCTTAACAAGCTTTACAAAAGTCTCTTAAGTTAGAAAAGTGATTAACTTAGTATAAAAAAAAGTTTTAGATGTGTGCACGCCACATTTGGAGATCTTTAATTTTTATAAGTAATTTGAGTCACATTTTACTATAATCATTCTCTAGTTGACTGGTGGATCACCAATTAAATATTTTATTTTTGTCAATGTCTTCAACTACAAATACGCATATTATAGCAACATGTGTTTTGATCTTTTTGTACTGTTTTACTATAGCTATGTAATTAAATTTTTTGTAGTCATCTAGCTTGTTTTATAGTAGCTGGTGACATAGTAGTATTATTTGGCAAACATGTCTTAGCATCAATAGGTTGAACTGATGCTTTGTATACATTTTGAAAAGAATTTGTATGATATATGAAATGAGTAAGTTGCAGTGGTTTTTGATGTATTTTTAAAATAGCAATATATACATACATATAGGAATCAATATTGTTGAAATTTATAACATGTGCAAGTTAATTGAGTAAGATCTACAACACAAAAATTACTATTATCACTTTTGACTTTAAAAAGTGATTTGTTAATTTAATATATCATTCTATTATAGTATCTATTAATAATAAACTGAAGCTTCTCTGTGGTTGTTTGTAGCAATGCTGATTGTATTGAATAATATTCTGTATGGCAATTATAATAAAATATGTTTATTTTGCATACAAATAAAAGAATTGTCTCAAATGGTTCTATAAGACATTTATTATATAACCATAAATTTAAAAATTCAGATACATTAGAAATAAGATAACCAAATCTGTTTTAAGAACATTGGCTAAGAGTCTATGTTGCAGGAGATATTTCTTGAAGATAAATAATAGCTTCTGAGTGCATATTAGATATTTTTTTCATAATATCATTAAAATCTTTTATATGCAGTGCTTTTGCTGCAGCCCAGATTTTATCTCCAAGTTTTGTTCTAAATTTCATATTAATGTTCTTCTCAATATGCCACATATAGTGTGCATAAAAAGAATTAGGGAGTTTTGTATATACAGTATCTAAGATGCCCTATAAAAACTTCTTTTAATATAGTTTAAAGAACAATAGTATGTATCAAAAAAATACTTTATAATAAATATACCTTTTTATGATCACTTATAATAACAGTTTCATTAGTATTAATAATTGAAAGAAACATATATAAATATTCACAAAACCACATCCAATTATCAGAATTCTCCACAGAATATATAGCAAAAGCTATAGAAACTAATCTTCCTTCTTCATCAATTGCATATGTACTAATATATACATACACCTTTATAACTTGATTTTGAATGACAAGCATCAAATGTAAATACTCATCTACAATATTTAACAGCTATGATCCATAGCTTTAAACATAAAAATACATGTGTAAATCAATTTCAATATCACTTTTAAATACAGTAACACTACCAGAGTTTGCTATATATAAACTGTCAAGTAATAACTTGATAGGTTGGTAGCTTTGATTAACATCCTTGATGCCACATTTTATATTAGCAGCATGACTTTTCAAGCTACTATATATGTTACTTCAGCTCCTACTTTAGAGCAAACATGGTTTATAATATTACTAGGCTGAAGTACTATTATATTCTTAACCAATAGTACAGTAAATCTTGAGTCAACCAGGGTGGCCCCCAAAGTACAAATCGGTAGTGCAGTTAGAGCCGCAGCTCCTGATTTACCAATCATATTGCATTGTGAAAATAATGATTAATATCAATTTTGAACGTTGAACCTCTTTTAATGAACACTTATACAACTAAAGAATGTGACAGATTAAAATGAAATCGGATTAAAATGAAATTTTTCTATTTTTTTAGAAAAATTTAAAATTTTTTGGGGGACATTTTTTAGGGTTAGGGTTAGTGTTAGTGTTAGGGTTTAGAGTTAGTTTTATTAATAAAAGAGTATAAGTGGGTTTTATAAGCTTTAAAGGTGAGCAAGAAAGGTCCCCAGTTTCATTTTAATCCGATTTCATTATGATCTGCGACAAAGAATATTGTATAGACATATTTAATTTCAGTTATTTTATGTAAATTTATTTCATTTTTACTGTGGAATTTTGATATTATATGTTGTTAGTTTTAAGATCAAAGTATTAAATTATATAGATCTAAGTACTAAGTTATATTTCTATGATTTTTAAGTCTAGAATGAATTGGACACGAATTGAATAAGTAAAAAACTTTACATTTCTACTTTGAAACTCAAAAAGTATAAATTAACAAATAAAAAATATGATCAACCTTCAAATTAAAATTGCTTTCAATGCAATAAATAAGATAAGTAAACTTCTAGTTCTTTTTGCATTATGTGATCCTATTTCTTTACTAATCATACTCTTTATTGTTATTATCATTTGTGTCATTCCCTAGTTTCTCTGGATATGACAAGTATACAAGGTAAGGCTTTCTTGTATTTTCTGGGAACCAAGTCAGTTGTCAGTATCTTCACCGTTCTGTAGCTTGAATATTTTCCTTCATCATTACTATATAGCTCCATTTTATCATGGCACTAACCTGTAACCAATTATTAGAAGCCTTTTCTGAACAGATCTGTTTGAATGACTGTGTAAATAACTTCCAATTTGACTTGACATAAGATCGAGCCTCTTTATATGGATCTTTATCAATATTAATGTAATTATCAGAGAGGTTATCAATATTATGATCTTCAGCAATATTAATGTAATTATCGGAGGAGTTATTGACATCATGATCTTCAGCAACTTGAGAAATGACTTGTGCTTCTAGTAATACAACATTATTATTCTTAAGGCCCTTTAAAACAAGAAATAGTGGTACTGTATGATGTTCAAATTCATCTCTAATTAAATGTCTTCTCTTTCCATCAGAAGTATTTACCACTTGCCTTACCAAATGTTTGCATAACAAAAACTGATTTTTAATAAATGCAAAACAACTACAGGTTCAAGAAGTAATCTCAGTGAAATATAGATTGCTTGTATTTGTTGTTTCTATATTAATGCTTCGTTTTCTTTTACCTGGAGATAGATACGGTTTAGTTTGGTTAGTTTGGTTTAAAAAATTATAAGTTTGAAACCATGATTTTGTTAGTTTAAATAAAACTATATCCATCTCTACACCTACAATTATTATGTTTATTATAAATTTCTGCTCATTTTTCATTATTTGCACCAGCATATATCCACTCTTTTTTAAAGTCTACCCACTAGTATGGTTCTATAGTGCTAGCCAAAATCTGAGAGAACCTGTCTTTCTGATCTGGAACTACTTCAGTAAGAAGCGTCTACACTAAGAGATCTAATCTCAGCTGGTTAAACTGATATAGGTAATGTTTTTTAATTACACTTCAATGGGCTTCTATTTTCATAGTTGTCTTTCCATAGGGTATAGTTGGTTTAGTTAACTGTGCCCAAAGGTACCATCTTTGTGATGAATACCAATTGGTCCATAAGTAAGACCAAAGCAAATGTAGTTCATTTTTAGCACAGAACTGATACATCTCTCTTATTGCACTTTCTCTAATAGCCTCTGGAGTCATCGTGTTTTCTTGAACATCAACTGGTATTAATAGGTGCATGCTAAGGTGGTGTTTCATCATTTCTAAAATTGTTTCTCGATGTAATAGTGGGCAGACAACATATGTTCGTAGATCACGATCCAATTCTGATGGATAAAAGTTAATATCAATGAATTCAAACTTATTAACTGCTTCATTGTAATTATAATTTATAGATATTGGTTTACTGTTTTTTGCTGATTTTGGTTTCTTCTCTAACTTACACTTCACGGCTCTAAAGATAAGTTAAGATAATAAATATAGATAAAAACAATAATAAAAAAAATAATAAAATTTATTTATTAATCTATTTAGATACCTGTTCATATGCTATTCACATAACTGAACTACCAAATTACCCCACACATTAGATATTGCATTTATTTCTATAAAGTCCTTGTCAGTAAATGCAAAAAGTGGATGAATGTTGTATGATTTTATATTTTTAAAAAAACTTTCTAATATTTGGCTGCGAGTTTCTGTACTAGTGTTTGAATTTACTGCTTTTGTTATATCCATTATAAAATTGGCAATTGGAAACCCTGCACCTTCGACATCAACAATAATACTATAAAGCTCATATCTTTCATATGCAGTTTTATAAGTAGCATCTACATATATTTTGCTAATATTAATATTATGATCATTAATATCCTTTAGCAAAGGTGTTGTGAAAGTGATAGACATAGACTCCGCATCTTGTATTTCTAAAAACTTATAAAAATTTTGACTCTCAAACTCTTCAAGCAGTCTATAGCTAGATATGAATGGATTATTGTGATGTTAATAAAGCCTTTGATTTGCTATAGATTTCCAATAGTATATTAGCTTGTGCGAATATCTTGAAATATCCAATTCTTGGCGATATAAGTGGTTTGTCAACTCAATCATAGTGAGATGTGCATATTTTCTAATCTCTTCTAGTAATTCATCTGACATTTTAGTGCAGGAATTTGGATGTGAATAAAGACAATTATGGCAAATATCAATCTTCACAACACCAAGAACTGTGTCTACTCGTATTGTAACTTTACCTTTACAATTGAGGTGTGTATACTGTCTGCGATTTGAATTCTTATACTCTTTGCTCTGTACCTCTTTAGATTGGCAGCACAAATATGTAAACCTACCAACTTTTCCGCCAAATTTTTTTAATATATCTACTTCTTGATATCTATAATAATATGCAAAAGAAAAAAATATATATAAAAATAAAAATAAAAAAAAAAAGAAAAAAAAAAAGAAGTTTACATCTATAAAAAATTATTACCTCCTTCAATTTCTGTAATAACAAGATTAGCAATTTCTTTTGCCGTCATATTTTGGGTATCCATGTCTATATTTACTAACAAATGTATTTGGTAAGCTGTGTCAGCTACCTCATCAATTTTCCTAATTCCTGGATCTCAATTGCAACAAAATCTCCCACTTCATGATAGTTGATCTCAGAATGTATGATATTATTTACATGACTTGTTTCTTGACTAGTAGCTTTAGGCTGATCAGCGAACTCGCCACTATCAATTGGATTTATAGTTTGATTAAAAAGAGTTGGTTTATTTTTTCTCTTTTCTCAGTATTTTTTGCATTTAATACAAGTTTTATGTTGAACACCATCCCAAGAGAATTGACTAACTAAACGCTTGCATTTACAGCCACCACACTTTTCTTTAGATTCTGAGCTCATTTTTTTAAAAATTATTACTTGCAATACGTAGCAAGATATATCGGCGAATATTTATATAAAAATAAAGAAGCAACTCAATATAATGCGAAAATTAAATAGTAATTGTGGTAATGATGATAATTGTATATAATAGTAAATTGATCCAGAAATGATCTATACTTACAAAGAAAATTTTAATATATTTATGTTTCAATTAATATTTTAGACTCCTATCCAATGCAATCAAAAAACTTGAATGATTTTATAATTTATTATTTTTATTATTATTTTTTTTTTTGTTTTAACAGTAGCCACTTTATTATGTCTGAATGGTTAAGTATACACATAGTAGTATAGCATAGTCTATATACATTTTTATATATATCCTGGGCCCCTCATCTGTGGTGTTACAGTTACTAGTACCATACCCCCACTCATGTATAAAGTATCACATGGCTGCTCAGAGGTGCTCATATATAACCGTCTAGCTACTGATTTACCTCTCCTTTGGCCTCTAACTTACTAGATGGTTACCTGCTGGATCAACAGAAGGCTGTGCTCGCCTTTTTGCTAGGGCACCTGTCCCATTCATATGCCTCACTTAGACTTTGGTAATTTTTACGCCACAGCTTGATCTATACACTCAAGGTCAGAGCTAACCATTAAACCCCTTGTATTACCTATTTCTTGCTCTTATTAAGATTCACAACAATCCCCATAACCACATTTGGTACTATCTTCTTACCTGGATTCTTTATCGGTCTCTTCCTTACTTCTAGCCGGCAACCCAGAAAGGTTGGTCTTGCCCAGGCTTTAGGTGCCCGAAGGATGCTCTCCTCTTGGTACATACTTTCGAAGTGTATGTCCCTTTTCTCCAGTGCGACAGAACCCGGCAGTTAGGGATGTTAATAGTTCAGTTTTAGACTATTAAACTATATAACTATAAAACTAAACTATTATAAGATTGAGTTACTATAGAATTAAATTATTATAAGATTGAATTATTATAAATT